AAATAAAATAAAATAAAATAAAATAAAATAAAATAAAATAAAATAAAGCTCTATACTCATTCTCCACACTTCTACCTCATCCCAAACCCCTGGCATCTACCATTTGTAGGCCACATCTCTATGAATGTGACTACTCTATATAGCTCATATAAGTGGAAGTGAATACTATTTCCTTGACTAGCTTACTTCACTTAGCATAATACTTTCAAGATTCACTCACACTGTAGTATGTCTCACAATCCTTTACCCTTTGCCAATTAAAACAAGTATTTAAACGAAGAATTCTTAAAAGAAGGTGTAATTTTAAAAAATAATTGTATTTATTCATTGTACATTGTATTGTATTACATAAAAATATTTTTATACAAATATACTCTTTACATTGAAAACTCAGAATTCTTTTTTAGGATCAAATAATATTCTAGAGTATATAAGTATTTAATTGGATTGTCCATTTAACTCTTAACGAAACCTGAGTGGTCAGTCATCTTTCAATAGTGTGGATAATACTTCTATGGACATGTACATACAAACATCTAGAGATTATGCTTTTAATTCTCTTAGATATATAGGCAGGTTTCATTGATTCATATGTCACTGTGTTTTACTTTTTAGAAATTGATACAGTTTTCAGTAGTGCCAACATAATTTTATATTCCCACCAATCGCTTTCATTTAAAAATTGCGCCAGGTATATACTTCTGACTTGACAGAGTTTTCTTCTATTTTTTTAAAGATGCTCTACAAGCCTACTGAGTACTTGCTTCAAATGATGTCTTTAATTTGTTCTTCTATATGTAGGGTATGATTTTCCTTTGATTGCTTTAAGATAATCTCTTTCATGATGATTTTGAGCAATTATATTATTAAGTGTCTCAGCAAAGTTTTCTTCATGTTTCTCGTATTTTCGATTTATTAATATTTTCTACTATGGATTTAAGGTTTTCATTAAGTTTTGAGTGCTTTATCTATTATTCCTTCAAATATTTACTCATTAGTTGGGAATACCAATTACTCATATATTTGATTATCTTAGGTTAATGATACTCTTAATTTTTAATCTGTGCTTAACTTTTGACTGCTTCTTTACTATGACTTCAAGCTCACCAATATTTTGTTCTCTAATGTTTACGCAATATTGTGTCTTTAAAGTGTCTGTTTCAAGCCTGACTGCATAGGGGTTGATGTCAAAAGTATCCCCTCTCCAGGAAAAAGACATCAGGATGGGCATGGCCCTCATGCCTCACTAGACAACGACAGGGGGACTGGAGCCATTACAAGGTCCCCTTCAAGTACTGGAGGTCAGGCCTCTATCCCCGCCTTCGCAAGATTAGAATTGCCACAGTCCTTCTATACTTAGGGAAGGGAGGAGATGTCAGGGGCAGCCCTGCTTACACACTGAAGGCCTAAAATCAGCAATAGGCCTAAAATCAGCAATAAGCCTGTCATACATGTATACTAACACCAAGTCTTGGGTCTCAGTGGAGAAACATTGAAACAGATGGCTATAAGCTAATGTAAACAGGCAGCTTTTGTGGAAATTTACAAGCCTGAGTAGCCATAGACCTTGTAAATAGGTAGCCTTGGCAGACTTAGATAAGGACAAGCAAGTCATAGGCAGAGTCATAGTGACTTGTCCCCTGAACCTTCACACAACCAATACCTGGTTCTGAAAGATACCTGTATTCCCCCTGAACACCCACACTCCAGTGTCATTCCCATCCTCATATCCTGCCTTTCTGTGTTTATAACCCTTGTGTGAATGGATTACGATTTGAGAAAAAATAAATTATTTAATAAATAAATAAATAAATAAATGATCCTATCATTTAAAAAATAAATAAAGGTCAATATTAGAAAAATAAATAAATAAAAATAAAGTGTGTGTTTCATTTCTATAAATTTTATTTGAACATTTTCCTTTCTTAAACATCTCTAAATAACTTTTTACATATATAGAATATAACTATAAGAACTACTTTAGCTAGGTATAGAGGTTCACACCTATACCTTTCCAAGTGAAAAAAAAAAGCTGAGTCAGGAAGATTGCCAATAATTTTAGGCAACTTTGGGTTATACAGTCAGTTTCAGTCCAGCCTAGCTACACGATAAGACGTCTCAAAATAAAGAAGGGAGGGAGGGAAGGAATGAGGGAATGAGGCTAATGCTAATTCGATATCAGTTCTTGGTTGGTTTCAATTAGTAGTTTGTACTCTTCATTGTGGGTTATGTAATCCTGCTTTTTTGTATGCTCAATGTTCTTTTTTTTTTTTTTACTGGATTTCAAATACTGTGAACTTCACTCTGTTGGGTGATGAACAGCATTGCATTCAATAGATACTTTTAAATATGACTGAAGCAATCAAGCTACTCGGAATCAAATTGATACTTTCACATATACTTACATGGTTTTTAGTTGGTTCTAGAAAAGGGCTCATTATGGAACTAATTATTCCCTACTACTGAAACAATTACCTTCTGTGGTTTTTATCTAACTCTCCATGAACCAGCCTGAATGGTAAGATAGGTTCTATTCCCAGACCCATATAAGCATCTAGTACTGTTCTCTGTAATCGTTTTGGACAGCTACTCCTCTGATTTGAGATCGTTTTATTCAGTGTGTTATGTTATGACTGGTACTAGATGAAACACTAGAACAGGAACTTCTGAACAGGTCTCTCTGTTATGCACTTTTCCTCTGATAGCCTGTTCTATGAACTCTCACTGTCTTGGCCTCCTCAGACTTTCCACTGCATGTCTTCAAAGCAGAATGCTTGTCAGACCATACTTCAGCTCTCCTTCATCTGCTGTTGTCAGCAAACTCATGAAGTCAGCCAAATAGCTGAATTGCTTACCTTATTTCTTATCTTCCAGTGATCATTTGCCATTGTCTGGTATTCAAAGCCAACAAACTGACTTTTTTCATGTATTTAAGGGGGGGGGGTTGGTGAGGGGATTCATTTTGCTTTTTTAAGCCAAGGTCTCAGTAGGTTATCCAGTCTGGCCTAGAACTCTCAATGTTAGTTTAAACTGGTTTCAAATTCCCAGATATCTACTTGCCTCCTCCTCCTGAATGATACGATAATAGGTATCTGCCACTGTGTCTGGAGCTTTGTCTTGTGTTTCTGGGAGGAGTTTTGCTTAAGCAGGAACACAAATAGGCCCCCTGTTGCTATATTTTAGTTGACAATAGAAGTACTAAACAACTTATGTTTTTTAAAGAAACCATATTGCATTTTATACACACAGGCCCATAAATGTATACCAACACTTACAAATTATTAAATGATATAATAAAGAATGATTGTTACTTTGCTTTTAAAAACCAATCGTAGTTTGAAATATTTCCACAGGAAATCAGAATTGTTTTATAATTTTTAAAGCTACTTTTAAAAGCATCAACACTTTTTAAAAGGGAACACGCTTCCACAACTTCCTTATCTCTCACACTAAATTACTCTCCTATCAATGCTATCATTTCCCTTTATCAAGAGTTCACAATGGGGAAGAGTTATGACTTACTATTTTTCAATAAATGGTCACACAATACCTAGTGAGATTCTGCACTATGAATATTTAATTCATAGATGGTATCTAAAGATAGAAACTATGAAGGTATTATTACTATATTTTTTGCTAGCTGTTTATTTGCTTATGCAGAACTGAGGATAGAATCTAGGGTCTCACACATGCTACACAAGTGCTCTGCCACTGAGCTGCATTTCCCAGATCCTGTTCTCTATGATTTTTATACTCAACAGTGTTTTATTTGGTGCAAAGGAGAAAGAATACAATGACTGAAAAGGTTATTCCCAAACCTGAACACTTCTGGCAGCTTTTCCCCACAGAATGTTGTGTAACCAATTTACTAAATCTCTTGTCAGTCGACTTCTTGTTTGGTGATCTGAAAAAAAAAAAAAAACCCAAGAGCAAATAACAAGCTTTAAAAAGAACCTAGATCCATTGAATTAAACAGAGTGTTAAGTGTATACACACAAGACTTAATCACATAGCTGTACTTAATCTTTAAGTAATGTCTATAAAGCAATCATATCAGACAAGGTTTCACCTTCAACTTGGTTTACCATTACAACTGCTTATATAATCTAATCAGAGTTTGCTAGAATCACTGGAATTCTCCCAACAGCCTCTTATATATTCCCAGCCTAGTCTCTTTTTAACTTACTTTTCATGTTCCAAATTAGATCACCATTTGGTGCCCTAATAAGGTTATTGTGAATGAGCAGACAGCAATGTCAGAAATCATTAATAAGAACTGCTCATACTATTATGTACTAAAAAGATCAGATCAAGTTCACAAGAAAGGCCAATTATAACTTAAAGCTTTTAAAAAGTACTTTAAGACCGCACTTACAGATAAACTTTATTCATTTAAATTGTAACTTGTGCTTGATTATTTCTGGTCTAGACATTTACAGGATTCAAATACATTAGCACATTAAAGTAAAGTTTAAACTGCAATAGAATTCTATACCCCTTTCTTATCTGCCCTTCTGGCACACGCTATCAATTTTCGCAAATGTCTTCATTAGAACAGTAATCCTCTGACTCACCAGTGGAGTCAGCACATGTGGCTTAAAATACTTATGTAAGAGCAACCAATTACTTAATGTCTCCTTAAAAGTTTATAATACCTTGATTATATGAATAAAACTCTGTCTAACCTTGTCTGACATCAATGGGAAGGGAAGCCCTTGGTCCTGTGGAAGTTTGATGCCCCATGGTAGGGGGATACTGGAGCGGTGGGGCAGGAGAGGGTGGGTGGGTGAGGGAGCATCCTCATAGAGGCAAAGGGGAGGGAGGAGGAGGTTGTGAGATGGGGGGTCTTATGGAGGAGTAACTGGGAAGTGGGATATTATTTGAGATGTAAATGAATGAATGATTAATAAAAAAAGAAATGAATTATTCTGTAAAATCAACTTTTTAGTTAGCTGACAATTCTCTGTCCTTTAAAAAGGAAGTCAAGGACTAGGAAAATAATAGTAAAGTGCTTGCTATGTAAACATGAGGACGAGAGTTTAACTTCCAGAATTCATATAAAATATAAAGCATGGTGGCACATGATTGTTATGCCAGTGCTGGAGAAGAGGAGAAAACTGGATCCCTGAAGCTCACTGGCAGCCCAATCTAGTTTATTCACTTTACTCCTAGCTAATGAGAGTTATTGTCTCAAAAGACAGGTAGAGAGTGTCTCAGGAAAGATAACTGAGCTTGCACTCTGGACCTATGCACCTGCTTGCACCTTTGAACACAAGTGCACTACACGTACGTGTGTGTGTGTGTACATAAACATAACATATAAATAAATGTATAACTTCCTAAGTTCTCTTACTTAAAATGTAACCTTTCTTGGCCATTGAAGGTCAACATCACAAAACAATTGCATTTTATTGTACTATTACATTTTTGCACTAGGGAAAACACTTGTAGTTTCAGCTAGTTGAGAGGCTGAGGGAGCAGATGATTCACATGAGGATAGATTGAGCAGCACAGCACGATGCTGTTTCTGAAATCTATAACTTGTCTAAGGCTGAAGAAATAGCCTAGTTGGTAAAGGGGTCAACTGGTTGTGGCATGCAAGCATTAAGACCTGAGTTTGGACCCCACCCACATAAAAAGCCAAGCCCTTGCAAAGCGCATGCACTGGGGAGCTAGAGAAGGAGGATCCTTGGAGTTTAGGAGTATAATTGAATTGGCAAATCCAGGTCCTAGTAAGCCAGTCTAGCAGAATTAGTAAGTCCCAGGTCCCAGTGAGATCTTATCTCAAACCATAAATAGCTTTTGAGGAATGACACCTGAGATCATGCTCTAGCCTCTACAACACACACACACACACACACACACACAGGAAGAGACAGAGAGAAAGAGAGATGCTCTTATATCAATCTACCTATATATTATTTCCTAATTCTTTTATTTCTGTATCTACATAGTATTTCCAAAGAATAACCTCAAAACAAAAAAAATTGCAATTTTTCCTGCCATATAGTCAGGTTAGCTATATATTTTGTTGTGGATCTTTTCTATTTGTATTATGATATCATTAAAATGCCAAGGACCAGAAAACCAGATAACCAAGATTATCAAAAAGGGATTCAAAAAGTAATTGAAATCTTAATGAAATCTGGGTGACATTAGAAAAATATAGTTCATAGGAAATAGAATTCAAAAAGCTCTTAATATCGCACGATTTTCTTTTGGAAACTATTAATGTCTGTTTTTATGAAAATATGATGCACACAATACAAATTTACACAATGCAGTACAATATCATAGAAGCAACACATTACCTTAAATGCCACCATTCAGAACAAATCTCCCTCTTAACATTTAGTGACTATCACTCCAGATGAGGTCAGACAGAGAATTTTCCAAGACACTGCTTATATTATCTGCACTCTGCAAGTTATGGAGGCTATGCAGAGAGTGCAGGATTAGGGCGATGCTGAGCAGAGGCGGTTCTCCATCTCTGCTTTAACTACAGAAAATCAAATCTGTTTTGTCTGAGAGATGTTTATGTAAGACTGTATGACAAAATAATGCTGCTGCTAAAAAGCGTTAAAAACAGGAATTTGGTTCACAATATTCATTTTACAGTTGAAAAAGCTAGCATCCAAAGATACTGACTTGCCCCAAGGCACATAGCTAACCTGAAGTCAAATCAGAAACATGAACTTGGGTTTATAAACCTCACAATTTTCTGCTACAAGTAAACTTTAAGCTCAGAGGTTTTTCTGTATTTTGAAGGTATTTTGTCATTTTTGCTTAGTTGTTCATTATAGTACACTAAAGTTGTGACCTCTATATGGTCACAGTGTTGTAGAAAAACTTTAAGGAGAGGAGGGAAAAGGAAATGGGAAAACCTGTTGACCTGAGAATTTTGCCATTTCTCTGACATGTATCTTAAAATAATAAGTAAATTAACAATTTTCAGAAAATGCAGAATCTTACTGACCTATAATAATTTCTTTAATCTGCTCTTCAGCAATCACGTCTTGATCCTTTTGTAAAAGCATGTCAACGTAGAACAACAGAATCCTCTTCCTATCTTCTGGCAACTTAAAATGCTCAAAGATGACCCTCAGGAAGCAAAAGCCAACAGAGTCTCTGTCCGAAAAGACATAATTTTAAGCAGTGTAAATAGAATCGGTTTTTGATCAATGGGATTAAAATAATTTCAATGTGAGCTAAAACAAACTTAGTTAACACCATTAAATGCCTAATTGTCAGCAATAAATTATTTCATTATAGTAACACTTTATTCATTTTTTATTTATGTGTGCAGGCACAAGCAAGTGTGTGTGTGAGAGATACAGAGAGGGAGGGAGGGCGGGAGGGAGGGAGGGAGGGAGGGAGGGAAGGAAGGAAGGAAGGAAGGAAGGAAGGAAGGAAGGAAGGAAAGAGGAGGAGGGAGGGGGAGAGGGGGAGAGTCAGAGAGAAAGGGGGAGAGGGGGAGAGAGGGAGAGAGGGGGAAAGGGAGAGGGGGGAGAGGGGGAGAGAGGGAGAGAGAGGGACAGGGAGAGAGGGGGAGAGGGGGAGAGAAGGAGAGAGGAAGAGAGGGAGAGAGAGGGAAAGAGAGAGACAGAGAGAGGGAGAGAGGGAGAGAGGGGGAAAGGGGGAGAGGGGGAGAGGGGGAGAGAAGGAGAGAGGGGGAGAGGGAGAGATGGAGAGAGAGACAGAGAGAATATGCACCCATGTCAGGGAGACAATATATACACCCATGTCAGAGAATGCATGTGGAGGTCAGAGAACAAATTATGGGAGTGGGTTCTCTCCTTCTACCACGTAGGCTAAGGTCCTCAAGCTAGGCAGAATTACCTGTTGAGACCTATTGCCAGCTCAACATTTTCTTATTAATTTGTTTGTTCATTTGTCTTTTCAAGACAAGGAAGGTCTCACTCTGTAGCTCAAGCTTGCCCATTAATGAACTTACTATGTAGCCAAGGCTAGCTTTAAACTCACATGAATCCTCCTATCTTGATTTCCCACGTTCTGGGAGTACATGAGCCACTATGCCTGGACTTCAGTATTATTAAATGTAAATACACTCAACATATATGAAGTATTTAATGAAATACCCATTGAAATACTAACAGCTTTTTTAAAAGACAGTGCCTTTCAGCATTTCAAAGACTGATATAATCACAATCTTGAAAACAAAGAACAGAGTTGGAAGACTCATGCTTCCTAATGTCAAACTTATTACAAAGATACAGTAGCCAAAATGTATAGAACCAGCATAAATACAGATAGACCAATAAAATAAAATACAGGACACAGAAATAAACCTTGACATATATGGCCAAATGATTTTTTATGAAGATGGGAGCCATTTTATGGTGAAATAAGTCTTTCAACAAATGATGATGGGGAAAAAAGATATTTATTTCAAAATAAATTGGACTTTTACTTTGTATCATATACAAAATATAACCACAAAATGGATGCTAGACATAAATGTTACAGTTAAAATTTCTATGGTTGCACAAGCAATTACAAGAAGCTACTTGAATAAAATATACAAAACTCAATAAAATTTTTGTATCACAATAAAATATCCTGCAAATGAAATAAATGTATTTCCCTTTTACCATAGCATTTAAAGGTATATGAAATACTTAAGAATAAATCTAACTAAGGTGACCAATTATAAATGATATAAATGGAAAGACATACAATTCTCATGGATCAGAAGAATTAATGGTGCTAAGATATTTATGCTTACCCCCTAAAATCTACAGATTGACAGCAATCTCTATCAAATTGTTTTTATCATTATTCATAGAAGTAGAAACAGTAATATTAAAATCTTATGAACTAAAAATGAACCTAAGTGGTCAACAACAATTATAAAAATAAAAGGCAAAGGCTAAAAAGACAGCTGAGAAGTTGAAAGAGACTCATCCTCTTCCAGAGGATCCAAGCTTGGTTCTCAGCACCCAAGTTCGGAGGTTCGCAACTGCCTATAACTGGGCCACCTTCTGGCTTTTGGAGGCATCTGCATACTTGTAGCATACATTCACACAGACATACACACACAGGAACAAAATAAAAATAAATCTTAAAAACAGAGTTAGAGGAATCATAGTTCCTGATTTCAGATTACAGTATAAAGGTATAGCATTCCCAACAGTATGATACTATCGTCAAAACAGAAACATAGAAAAATAAACAACCTTAAAAGGCAAGGAAAAACCTCATTCTTTCCAGTAAGAGTACCCATAAAATAGCAGAAAAATATTGTTGCTTCAATAAATGATGTTGGGAAAATGGATATTCACACTCAAAAACATAAAACTGTACCTTTATCCTACAATATTCACAAAATTAATCCAATATGTATTAAAAGACTTAAGCATAATATCTGAAGCCATACAACAACTAAAAGAAATAAAATAAGGAACGATCTCTGACAGTGATCTTGGCAATGATGCTGGTGAGGGAGCTGGCAGAAGGACTGGAGGAGCAGAGGGGAATTACAATCCCATGGGAAGAACAACATCAGCTGGCCAGACCACCCAGTGCTCCCAGGGACTAGACCACCAACCAACGACTGTACAGGGAGGGATCCATGGCTCCAGATACATTTGTAGCAGAGGATGGCCTTGTCTGATAGCAATGGGAGGGGAGGTCCTTGGTCCTGTGGAGGTTTGATGCCCCAGCATAGGGGGATGCTGGAGAGGTGGGGTGGGTGGGGGAGCACCCTCATAGAGGCAATGGGGAGGAAGGAGAGAGAAGATGTGGGATGGGGGGTTTGTGTAGGGGTAGCTGGGAAGTACGATATCAGTTGAGATGTAAACTAATGGAATGAATAATAATAATAAAGAAACAATAGACAAAAACAAAACCAAACTAACCAAGTAGGACTATACAAATCTAAAATGTTTCTATAAAGCAAGGAAACATTTAGTAAAATGAAAAGGAAATACACAAAGTAAGAGGAAATATTCCATATCACAGTCCAATATGAGGTTGGTATCTAAAATTTACACAATTTATGAAACTAACCTGAGGGGGTGGCAGAGACAGGAGGATCTTTTAGAATTTCTGCTGGCCACTCACTAAGTCTAGCTGAACCAGCCAGCCCCAGAGTCAGGGAGTGACCATGTTTCAAGACAAAGCAATGGAGAGCAATAGCGGACGATACCTTCTGTCTATGCTGGCTAGCCACTTGGGGAGGTAGGGGAGCAATGGGGTACTCCTGGGTAGCCAGCTGTTCCAGACACTCTGGCTTCACATAACGGCAGAATTTTCAACAGTTTCTGAGACAGCCCTAAACAAATTGCTGATGTTTTTAATTCTGACTCAGTACTGATGATTGTAAAATGAAAATATGGGTCAATTCTGAAAAATACCAAGGATACACTACATCACACTGTGTCATGTATTCATCCAGGAATTACTTATGTAAAAAGAAAGTATTACATCCATCTCACTATTATTTACCTCAAGAAAATAACAGAATAAATATGACGCTAAATCCACTGCAGAGCCAGAGACTAGGAAAATACATTGTCAGTGCTTAGGAACTTTGAAAGATTTCTGTAATTAAAAGCAAATGTAATTAGGCTGATAAAAAATCAAGGATGAGAATATAAAGCCAAAATGGGACAAAAGAGAATAAATAGTTGAATAGTTAGCTCATTTAACCAAAAATAAATAGCCTAGAAAAATCTATTAAGTCAGAAATTAATGGGATATAAGAACAATTGATTATGGCTATAGAAGAACTGCAAACATTAATTCCATTTCCATTGTGTGACAAGCAATCTAGAGTGCTTATATTTAAACCCAGGTTTTTCTGTCAAACAAATTTTTAAGCAATATAAGGGATCAGTTTCAGCTTATGTAAGAAGCAGAGGATTCAGACTTGGGGAAAAGAATAAGAAAGAAGGAAATCAGCATAGTGAAAATCCCTCTAATTCCCACATCAAAGTGGGGATGGGACTAGTGTATCTAGCCTACACTGCAATAGCTACTTTCTAAATATATCTTCCCAACAAATTGTGCTTCTTAGTATTCACATCTTGGTAAGATATTTTCTCTTTGAATCTGGACTGGCTTTGTGGCTTGTTTTTATTACAAGCATTTTTTTAATTTTTTTTTATTTATACTCCAGTCATTGTCCACCCCATGAGTCCCCTCTCCCACAGTTCCTCATCCCATTCTTCCTCCCCTTTGCCTCTGAGAGGATGCTTTCCCCACCACCTGACCTCCCCCTTCTCTGGGGCCTCAAGTCTCTCTAGGATTAAGCACATCTCCTCCCACTGAGGTCTGACCAGGCAGACCTCTGCTATATTTGTGCCACCAGACCCTGTGTGCTCTTGGTTGGTGGCTCAGCCTCTGGGAGCTCCCTGGAGTCTGGGTAAATTGAGACTGCATATTTTAATTATACAAAGTAAAAGGTTTCATTATGCCATTTTCAGATATGCATGTAACATACCATGATCATATTTATCACATCATTAACCCTCACTAAGTCCCTTACCACCCACATAACTATTAGTCCTCTTCTATTTTCATGTGTTTTTCTTTAATAGCTACACATAGAGAAAACATATATTGTCTTTGATTCTGGGTTATTTTGCTTAAAAGACACTCTGTAGTTTTAACTGTTTTCTTTAAAATGCCATAATTTTTGGTTGTTTTTTAGACCCAAGTAGGATTCATTCTATATATTTAACACACTTCTTTATCAATTCATCTACTGACAGATACCTATACAGCGTCCAAAACTCAACAACTGTGAACAGTGCTATAATAAATATGGGCATGCAGGTATCTTTATTATAAGTGTACTTATTCTTGAGGCCTCTCCATACTAATTCTCACAGTGGCTGGGCTATTCTCATTAGCAGCAATTAAAAGTTCCTTTTCCACAGGGTTAATTTCCTCTGAGAATGTGATGACCATTCTCCTGTAGAAAGCCACACTTGCAAGATTATGTATGCACCATGTATCGGCCTTCATAAGCCAGATTGAATCACTCATTTGAAAAGGTTTTTGAGCCAGAACAGCTGAGTTGAATCAGTCACTCAGAGTTCAGAAAGAACTAGAAAAGGTGAGCTTATTCAGCAGTAAGCCTCTAAGACAACAATTGCATCAGGCAAATAAAAGATACTTTTACAAACCTCTTTTCAAATGGATGGCCAGGGTAATTCAAGTGACTCCCAAAACAATATAGCTTATTGATGTAACTCTTGGTTGTTTCCCAGAGTTTAAGTTAAGCCCCTGTTGCTAAAGACACAGTTTGGACACAGGACTTAGTATGATTCCAGCTGAATCTAAACTAAAAAGCCTTCTCTGTGGTCTAGTTTGAAGGTAACAGAAAATACTATACAAGCTCCCAAGAAATAAAAGTAGTCTTACCCAGCACAAACACATATGAACCACAACACTGACCAACATGACAAACTATCTGTACTGATGCAGTAAGTTACAGTTTGTGCAACTAAAAGCTATCTAATTTGATTTAGGGCCTACTAAATAGAAATAAAACCATACCTGGTACTAAAAACCAAGCCAACTTCTCAGAGCTAGTGAAGCTGTGGGCCTTAGAAATAAGTCTACCACCATCATTTTGTTAGATCAGCATAATTCTTATCATATTCTAAATCTAACTCTACCCACAGATAAGTATAGATACCAACATCCATCAAAGAATCTTCTCTTTACAGCAAATAGAGACTATCACAGAAAATCTGATCATAATACATACAGAGATCAAGGGATTGTGGGGTGTCTGGCATCAGTGCATATCTACATCACAGATACTGTATCTACATCTCGGATAAAATCACAGAAGAGGAAATGAAAAACATTTAAGAGCCAGAATATCAGGAAGTCTACTGAGAAAGTCTTTCCTAGACATGACTACATAAATAAGACTGAAACAATGGAAATAGTAATAGACATACTTGCATGGGGATGGATTTTCACAGAGTCTCACCACTAAACTATAGGCAACAACTTATGACTACTAGGAGAGGGAAAATTCACCTCTTTCAGGGATAAGCACTATCTTAATTAGAGTTTCTATTGCTGTGAAGAGACAACATGACCATGGTAATTCTTATAAAGGCAAACATTTAATTGGGGCTGGATTACACTTTCAAAGATTTGGTCCATTATCATCATTATGGGAAGCATGGCAGCATGCAGAAGCAGACATGGTGCTGGAGAATGAGGTAAGAGTTCTACATCTTGATCCAGAGGCAGCAGAAGTAGAGAGTGTGCCATATTAGGCCTAGCTTAAGCATAGGAGACCTCAAGGCCTGCCTCCACAGTAACACACTTCCTCCAACCCACCCACCCACTACCCAAAAAAATATTTTCAACAAACACTGTTGGTCAAACTAGATGGCTGTATATAGAAGAATGAAAATAAACTCATATATATCATCCTGCAAAAAAACTAACCCCAAATGGATCAATGATCTCCACATGAGACTAGAAACCCTGAATATGCTGGAAAAGAAAGTGGAGAATAGATTTGAACTCATGAGCACATAAAAGGACTTCCTGAACTCAGGTATTAAACCAACAATTATAGGACCTCATGAGGCTAAAAATCTTACAGCAAAGGACATCGGTATTGGAGCAAAAGCAGCAGCCTTCAGACTGGAGGGGAAAATCTTAGCATCTGCTTGAGGGTTAGTATGTAGCAAATAGCCTAATTTAAACTAGGGTATAGAACTTAACAAGGAGTTCTCAGAAGATGAAATGCCAAGTGGCTAAAATATATATATATATTTTAATATATTCAACATCTTTTACAATTAGAAAACTACAAAACTTGTATGAGATTTTATCTTATCTCAGTCACTGAATGTTTGCTTATAATGACTGAGTTGCTGGGGCCTCCTCAGGGAACCTTCCTCTATACAGAGAGGAGAGTCAGAGAGTCTTTACTGACAGGGTGGCTCTTAAAGGGGATGAGGAGTCTGCAAAGGAAGGGAGTGAGTCAGGCATGATGGTCAAGGAAATCGCACAGCTCACTGACTAGCAGTCAGGCTGCTTCTATGGCTCTAACTAGCAATCAGGGCATTTCTGCTGTTCTGACTAATAGCCAAGTGCTTCTTTATTTATACAAGCTTCACTGAACAGAGGCAGACTAATGACTATCCAAGTGGTACAGAATATATGTTCGAGTTTTCATTACATGGCCAGGGTTACAAGTTCAGTTACAATTAGAAAATACAAAGAGCAGATTAGTCTTATTCTTATTAGCCCTATAACTCCAATTTAAAGAATCTAAAGAATGTCACCTCCAGAGCAAACACATTTATTATACGACAGTCTATTTTTAGACTGGCAAAGTTTGCTATTTAAAAGCATTCCAGACAAACAGAAAATATCTGAACCAGTTTTTTTATGAATAGCAAATATTAATATCTAACTTCTTTTACTATATGTTTCATTATCTACGCTATAAAGTAGGAAAAGTGTATTTTAGTCACTCTATCATACTGAGTTTTATTTCTTCAGGAGCATATCCTGTATGACCCCCCTATTAGAGACCTCTAAGCCTATAATAAAAAGAGACCTTGAATCTGTAACCTATTCTTCTGGCCAGAGATTGTTAGAGTTTATCAGATGCCTCTGTTTGTCTTGCATCAATTATACTGTGTGAGTTTGCTCAGCGGCAGATACCCCAAAAAGATTCCTAGAGAATCGGCCTCATCTAGCTCTGTGCTTATCTGTGCTTAATGATCTCCAGGGCATATGGAAGACTTCCAAAGAGTGGCCAGATAAAGTTAATTTTAAGATTTTCCTAAAAAGACTCAGACATAACTTTTCTCAGGAAAAGAAATAAATTAATCATAATGCAGAAAGTTCCTAAGAATGCAACACATAGAGACCCAAACTCAAAAGTTATAGACAGAAGGACAGCATCTATAGCAATTGGCCCAGTTTTGCTGGAATTGTGTCAAGCAGCAGTGCCTGGCATTATGACTCTTGCCTTTTCCAATGGGAATAGCTGTGCCAGTGGGTGTACACCCCATGCATAGAATTACTAGGTGCTATGGTTTGCACCCTATAAGGTTCATTTGTTGATGTCTCAGACCCCCGAGTAGCAGTGTTGAGAAACTATGCTGATTAGTTATGTCAATTTGACAGAAGCTAGAGTCATTCTGAAAGAGAGAACCTCTTAGTTGAGAAAATGCCTGTACCAGACTGGCCAGTAGGCAAGCTTATGGTACATTTGTGGAAGAGCCTAGCTTACTGTGGTGGTGCCTACACCTAGGCTATAAGAAAGCAGCCTTAGAAAGCCATGGGGACCAAAGCAGTAAATAGCACTCCCATGGCCTCTGTCTCCAGGTTCCTGCCTTGAGTTCTCTGGATGATGAACTTTAAGATGACCATCGTGTTTTATCACAATGGAAACCCTAAGAAGACACAGGATGGAGCCTGTAAAAAGTAGCATCTATTGGAAGGTACTTAGGTCATTTAAGGGTGTACTGCTTTTTCATGGAAATGCTGTTTTCCTTTTTCCTGAAAGAAGTTTTAGAGACAGCAATCAGGATAGCCTAAACTGACCCTTCACTCCCTCTCCAGATTGCTGTATTGAGAGATGATTGCTAGCGCCCACACATGCTCTCATCATCGACATCCACCATGACGTGATACAGTCAAGAGTATCCTCACCAGAACTGAGGTGATGCCAATGCCATAATCTGATCCTGCAAAACTAAACAAACTGTGAGTTAAAGGCACATTTTTTCTTAATAAGGAGTCTGTAACAAGCATTTGGTATAATGACAAAGAGCTAACTATACTCTAGGTAATATAATGTTATATGATTAACTTATTGAGGAACTGTTTTCCAAACCAGATGTTCCATTTCACATATTAAACAGCAGCGTAACAGAGTTAGTACTTATACACATGCTTATCACTTGGGAAGCAATACTATATAGATCAGTACAATAATATTATGTTTTATACGAATGAACACAAATATATAAACACTCAATGTATTCATAAAGTAATAGAAAAGTTATTCTTCATAGAAAGAAAAATCAAATTTCCATACCTCTCATTATCTATCAGGAATTGAATAATGCTCAGACAGAACTCCAAAGGCATAGCAAGATACAGCATTTCCTTAGAAGCTAACAAAAAAAAATATTAATTAGTTAATCATACTAACAAGGAAAAAAGAATGAAAATGAGTAAAACATATCAATTTTACTTATAGAAAGGTTAACTATTTTCAATAATTTTTCTGTTCAAAATATTCATATTAAAATTTGCTATGTACTATATTTTATCTAGTACTTCACAAAAAATTTTTTAATAGTGCGTTAATATCTAATACTATACAGAGCAGTGACATGGACATCTTTTAACCTAGTGCAAACTTTCTGAAATCAATCTGGCAATACCCTATGCTAAGAACGCCTGATTAAGAGTGGAATCTAAAGTCAGAAGTAAGTAATGCCAGTTGCTACCTGTATAGCCACAGGCAAGTTATTTCATTTTTCTGTACTTTAGTTTGTCACATATAAAGTAATAAATATACTACAGATTTATTTACATTATCAAGAGGATTCCATGAGATAATATATGGACATTATATAGTAATGTCTTACTAAACATTAAATAAATGACAATTCCTATTGCTGTTATTCCCTTTCTTCATAAATTATATTTCTGAAAAGCCATCTAAAGTATAGGGAAAAGTTTCTGAAAAAAAAGATATTTAAAAGAGTTTATACTATAAAATAGGAAGGAACCATCATGAAATGTTCACTATGGTGTAGCCATAAACTATCATATAAATGCTTAAAACATTGCTGAGTATTAGATAGGATGGAACAATGACTATACACTAACATAAAAATATTATGTGCAAAATTTAAAAACAAATTTATATATATCATTAATTCTATAAAACACACAAAATAGACTAAGAAAATACTAACAATACATCATCAAATTGCTAAAAAAGATTATGTTTAGATTTAATGATTAATTCAGCAAGTGTTTAATGAGTGTATTTTCTAAATCTGTCACTATATTTGTATTGGGAATCTAGCACTAAACAAAATACACAACAAGCCTTGCTAACAAGATTATATTCTAGGGCAGTATTTTCTCAACCTTCCTCATGCTACAACCATTTAACACAGTTGCTCATGTTGTAGTGACCCCCAACCATTACTTTCGTTGCTACTTCAGAACTGCAATTTTGCTACTGTTATGAATAATAATATAAATATCTGATATGACCCTGTGAAAGAGTCGTTTGACCCACAGGTTAAAAACCACTGTTCTAGGAGATGGTAGGACCATCGATATCTTCAGTATCTTCCAAATTTTTCTCTGATGAGTCTGTGATATCTTTTCCTGATTAAAAGTTTGTCTACTTTAAATTTTTTTGCCAGGTAATTGGCACATACCTTTAATCCCAGCACTTGGCTGAGATGTGCAGATCTCTATGAGTTCAAAGCCAGCCTGGTCTACAAAGCAAGTTCTAAGACAGCCAAGGCTATAAAGTGAGACCTTGTCTCAAAAAGGGTCTTTTGAACCTTTTCTGCTATAAAAATATCAGTGAAAGTCAAATGCCTACAATTAGGCTAATGATTCTAACAGGAAAATACTTTTGTAAAGAAATGAACAGACTACAGCTAGGGGTATGGCCAATAGGGATGTAGCTGAGTAGAACAGAACTTGCCTAGCATGCACAGTCCCCAGCACTGCAAAATTGAATACATTGTAAAATTATTTTCTCAACATAATAGAATAAGATGGTTATTATTTTAATAGGAAGCCTTAAATTTATGGAAGTCTCATAATTTATAACAATTTCAGAAAAATAACTACTCTAAACTCTGTTTCTGATAATGCATTTAGATAAACATTGTGATGATGAATTCTAATCCAAAACTAATCAACATCAAACTTGGTAATTCTATAATATATTTTAATTTTATACATAGTGTTAGTTCAAGTAAGTCTATTAACTTCCTTAGCTTTCTAATGCAAGGAAAGTGGGGTTGTCATCCTGGTTCGTAACAGTTTTCAGCCTGTGTATGTGAAAGTGATATAGAATCCTCTCTACATTTCAGTTTCTGAGGTCTTTTGAGTCACTAAATTTCTAGAGCTTAAAGAAAAATTCAGCAATATTAAATTAGCACAAAATTTAGGACTACTTCCAAATTTGATTACTGTCCTAATTATTTAAGAATAATTTATTATATAACCAATATTATACCAACACATAATTTTATGTAGTACAAATAACTCTTAAAGATAAAATAATAATTAAATTAATAATTAAAATAATAATTCTTAAAGATGACTAAAATATCCAGTCAGGGTAGATCTATAATATAACCTCCAAATTTGGGAAATGGAAGGAAGAGAATCAGCAGTTCAAGTCCATCTTCAGCCACTTACTAAATTCAAGGACAGCCTAAGCTACACGGGATATATGTGATAAATGCTTTACATACATTTTCTCATAGGATTTTCAAACAACATGAGATAGGTATTATTATTATATCTCTTTTTGAAAATAAACTGAAACACAAAAATTAAGGCACTTGCCAAATGACACACAGCTATATATCTGTATATTTCTTTGTATATTCTACACCCTTAATAATAATTGAAAGACATAACAATGTTTATACAAGTAATTATTTAAAAGAGCATCATTAAACAGTTTCATTCAATGGATAGTTTTTCTCTTTGGGACACTGTGGAGGAAGCCAAGAATCTCAGCCGAGAACACAGATCTAATTGTTCTCCATCGTATTTCGTCAACCCCCATGTCCATCTCTTAGTCCCTCAATAAACTAGCCATCCTTTCCCCACTACCCCTCCAAAACAAGAACCCTTTGTTTGTGCTCATAGAACATTTCATAAAGGTTGAGCAGCTGTAATTCTCTACAAAGCTAAAAGAAGCTGATTGCTTTGATTCAGTTTCTTTTTATAAGCACCTTTTCATTTCGCTCCTATTCTTCTTTCTTTCTTCCTAGTTAATAATGCCTTTTCTATTTATCAGTTTTCTCCTCAACTACCACCAAATTATACCTATTGTTAGTAAATTACAAAATTACTTTGTACTGATATTTCAAAATTGAATGCTCTTTCCACAGAGAAGTTATACCTTCAAGGAGTTCTTCATTACACGTTCTGCCTTTCATGAGGATCCTCATCTTTAAGAAAAGCCCAGCTGGACCTAAATGTTCCTATTTTCAACAAAGAAATCACAATGATATTATAACTCTGGAATGTAAAATCCAATTTTCAAGTAATTGCCTGTTTTGTTCAACCTTTGTATGATGACTCAGAATCAAAGGATATAAAATGTCATTTAAATCATATAATCATATCTGTTCTATCCCCAAGAATACCTTCTGACACTTTATTCAATTTCAATAAAATAATACAAGGAAAGGAGCATGCAAAAGATTTCCATAGACTGGCAAACATGTAATGGCACTGTAACTATTTAAGTGGCAAATCTCACACCATAGTCTAAGGAAAATCTTAAATATCAATTAGATCTATTTTCTACAAAATACCTCCCTTCCCTTTCCTCTTTCCAAAGCCACCTATATACACCTCCTTGCTTTCTTTAAAATTTATCGCTTCTTTCTTCATTAATTATTGTTATATAAATATATGTGTAACTGTATAATGTAACTTGTATATATGCTTTAATAAGCATCCTTTTAAAACAATGTTAGTAAAAACACAAAAATTATTATCATTTCTATAGGACATAGCTTTTATGTCTACAACTAATAACAATGTTGCCTAAGTGATATTTCCAAGTTTTTGTTAGCTATCCCTAAGGCAACTGTAGAGAGTGGAAGCTATTTTAAAAAGTGTAGCCTGGGTACATCGAACAGAACTCTTCCCTCTGCAATGACAATCAGCGTTTTTAAAGCTCAGTCTAACGTGGGACTATATACGGTCACAATATCTGATTTCCCACAACTTCAAAAATAATGTAAACATTTTTCTAGTGTGACATATACCATGTAAATATACATACCCACAACCAAGTATATAAAGCATGTTTATATACTTGGTATTAAAGCATGTTTATAGTGCTATAATTTGGATCTGAAATGTCAAACAAAAGCCCGTGTATTAGAATGTTTCCAGCCTATAGGGCTAGGGCTATTTGGAGGTGATGAACCTTTAAGAGGAAAGTGGAGAGAGCAATACTATTAAAGGACATACTATCCCTTTGGTGCCTCTAACACATGCTCTGTCTCTCTTCTCGTTCTCCCTCATTCCCCCTCTCCTTCTCCCTTCTTTGGCTTCCCAGGTGCTATTAGGTGACTAGGTCTCTACCACATGCTTCCACTATGATGTACTACACAGTCACATGCCCAAAAGCAACAGGCTGAGTGCCCACAGATGAAAACTACTTCACCGATTCGACTCTTTAAACTTTTCCTCTTCTTAGGTTGATTATCTCACGAAGGCTTGCCCAACCTATACTCGATGGGGAACAGATAATGCACATGCAACTGAGGACAGCTATGAATACAGCTCAAAACAAAATTGTAAACTTACTTAAAACATTTTATTTTACCTTTATGTACTACAAAGAGTGTAACAATCTGTTGCGTTTTCTAAAGAGACATACTAAAGTGAATGCCTAAACTGGATTTCAAATTATGAATTAAAACTTGTGAAAATTTGAAGTTAATATTAAAAAGTAAGTCTCATACCTTGTTTGCAATGAGTATAGCAATGAGGGCCTTGTTATAATATGCTTCATCACCGCACTTCAAATAAATGGTGGCTAGAAACCGCAGAGCTTTAGCCTGTAATCAACAACAGATAAAAGCTTCTAGCTAAGGAACAAACTACAACACAACAGCTGGCTAGCATTTGCACAATGATGGAATCATCTACAACATAAGTTGTCTTTTTTTAATAGCACTGTCTGTATACAACCACATATTCTCAAAATATTGTGCTAGTTTATACCAAATATTATCTAAGAAATGATAGTATTATGCTTGTGCCTTATTTATATTTAATATAACTGTGTTAAAATACTTATTTTCCTTCTCTTTTTGTGTTTTTGGTTTTTTAGTGGTAGCTGTTTTTGTCTGTGTGTTCGCAGTGTTTGCTTGTCTGGCTGGTTGGGGTTTTTTTTATAAAGTTTTCTGAGACAAGATCTCACACTATAGTTCCTGCTGGCCTAGAACTCTCCAGAAACTTCTTGGGTGCAAATACCACTGTGCCCAGCTTAACAAAATTTATTTTCTTTACACCATCTTACTATTAAAGTATTTTATAAACCCCAATTTCAAATTCAAATCAGTGGCATTTTAAAATGAGTGAAGTTATCATTTAACTAAAGTCAATGTCTCCAGCCAGGACAACATTCACACAGGGAGTAGTAACTGTAGTCAATGAGAATGTGTTTAGATTCATGGGAAGAATTGGAAGAGGAGAATAGGTTGAATCCAAACACATTATATTAATATGTGAATATTAACCAAACTGTTAATAAGAAACAAATGTTAAAAATAAGACGTTCTAGGGCTAGAGAGATGGTTCAGTGGTTAAGAGCACTGACTGCTCTCTTCCAGAGGTCCTGAGTTCAATTCCCAGAAACTACATGGTGGCTCACAACCATATGTAATGGGATCTGATGCCCACTTCAGCAGTGTACTCATATAAATAAAATAAATAAATCTTAAAAAATTAAGAGGTTCTATATCAGTACATGTGTTTCCTTCTAAGTATAATAAGGATAGTAGGACAGGGCAAAAATGCCCTATTGACATTTTTTAAAAAAATATCAAGCATATTAGTCCCCTTCAGATCCAGAGGAATGACGTCTGTATTATCATTTCTCTTCGTTTTTAAATTAAACACTAAGATGAATCAAATAAGATATATAAAAAGTAATACCATAATTGCTGCAAAACAACTCTATAAGAGTTTGTAAGCTCCCATAGAGAAACTTTATGGAGAAAATACGAACTCTCTAAGAAATATTGTAGCTATTGCATTATAGCCAAAGCATTCATTCGTCAGAAACACAGGAGAATAAATCTCAGAATTTGTTTTTAAAAAATGAGCCAGACATTAACTCGTACATATTGGATAATTCCATTTATACAAAGCTCAAGAATAGCCCAAAATAATCTACAATAAAAGTCAGAATATTAGGGTTTGCCCCCTTGAGAGAAGAGTGTATTAATTGGTACAGAGATAAAGATACTTTTCAGAGTGAGGACAGTTTCTGTATCTTGACCTATAAAAGACTATAAAAAAAATCCATCAAGCTGTGCACTAAGTCTTAAAAAAAATAGTCCCCTAAACCAGGAATGGATTACATCTAGTTGAGTTGTTGGCCAAAGGGACCACATAGAAACCACCCCAAACAACCCAGGCTATTGCCAAGGCTTATTGTCAAGATCATTATCCACTGATGATATAAGGCCCTATTGCTAAAGATACTATCTACACAACTCAAACATGGAAAAGACAAGCAGGTGCTTACCTAGAGCCTTCACCCCTAATAACTACTATTCATGGTACTGGAAGGTACCCTGCATGCTACCAGAGGAGAAAGGAAAACACTAAGCCAGCTACAAACTCTTCAATCTACAATAGTGACCTGCCTGCAAAAATAGGCTGGTGCAATAGTGACACAAACATTGCTGGAGTAACCAACCACTCTCTGATTGGATTTAAATGTCCAGTTCACAAGATGTAACCAAAGCCTGATACTCCTCAGGTGGCCAGGAACTTGAAAGTAGATAGGCCATGGGCTTAGGGAAAACCAAAGTACTATTATTGTGCTAAGGAACATAGCAATAAAATGACTCAATGACATTCTGCTATACCCATAGATCAGTGTCTATCAGATCAGCCATTATCAGAGAAGCTTCCTCTTTCAGTAGATGCCAACTAACACAGAGACCCCAAACTGGACCACATGCAGAGAGCAAGAGACCTCAAAACACTCAGTTCTAGATGTCTTCATCAAAACCCTTCTCAGGGTTCAGGGAGCTATGAGGAACAGGCAGAGCGGATAAATGACTCCAAGGAAACTATCTTCCAGATACAACAGAACTAATGCATATATGGACTCACAGAGACTGTGACAGCATGCATAGGGCCTGCACAGGTTCAAGCTGGACAGAGTCCCAATACTGAGATGGGGAAGTGTTCATGGGCTCTCACCCATAACCAAGATACTATTTGCAACTGACACCCACTTGCAAAGGAAAATTAGTATTATTAATGGAGTCTCACTGGGGATATTAACCAACTTCAGGGTAGGTCCCATTACAAGCAACACAAGCAATAGATAGTTAACACAAATGAACTCCATACATTTATAAACTTTTTGTCTCTTAACGCTTCGGGCACTGTTTATTGTACTGGTCTTTTGCTTGTATACTATGTTTCCAGTTTTGTGGGGTTTGGGGGGGTTGTTAGTGTGTGTGTGTGTGTGTGTGTGTGTGTGTACACACGCACAAATGTGCATTTTTTGTGTTTTCTCTTTGTTATGTTATGTATGCATATGCTTTTCAAAAGTTTATTTGACATTTCTTTGCCTATTTGAGATGGGAAGGGGAAAGGATATGGAGTTTTGGGGAATCTGGAAGGAGCTGAAGGAGGGGAACCATGATCAGAATATATTGTATAAATAAATTTTAAAATAAAAACTTGCCCCCTATAAGCCCTATAAGCTCACATATTTGAGCACTTGGTTCCTAGTTGGTGGTGCTTTTTGGGAAGGCTATGAAATCTTCTGTCTTGGTGATTTAAGGAAAACATTAAACTTTAAACTATACAGTAATAAAAGCTATGATTTACAAAGTAAAACACTGTCCAAAATAGAGCGTGTGTGTGTGTGTGTTAATCCACAAGTAGATTATGAACTTATGGGATAAATTATATTGCTATATACATTTTATGGAAATTAATGCACTAAAATGTTAAACAATATGCCCAATAGATAATCTATTCACTAATAAGGGGTCAACTAACATAACTTTATAATAGTATAAACTGTATTTCATCATTCTACCTCTCTAATATTAAATGACACTTACCAGCATTTGTGGTTGAACAGAATTATTATCCATCTTCCCAATTTCATAGCTTTGGCTAGCAATAAAAAAGAAAAATGTGTGTAAATATACATTCACACTAAGCATTATATATTGCTAAGAAGATAAATCAAATTAAATCAAAAGGACTGGTGGCAAGATAGCTTAATTGGTAAAAGTGTTCTTCTTACAAGCCTCATCACTTGAATTTGATCCCCAAATCCCCAAGAAACCAAGGCACATATATTTGAATGCTTAATCAAAGTAGTGCCACTCCCTGATGACTAAGCATTCAAATATATGAGCCTATGGGGGCCATTCAAACCACCATAAAAGCACAGACTATGACATTCATATGCACAAGGGTGATGGCTGAGAAAGATGATAGAAAAAAGCATCCCTTTGTTTCTTGATTGTGAATGTAGTATTTCCAATTGCTTCAAGTTCCTGCTACTTTTATTCTCTCACCATGATTGATAGTACTCCTAAACAGAAAGCCAGATAAACTCTATCTGAAGTTGATTTTGTCAGTGTTTTAATCACAGTGACAGAAAAAGAAACAAAGATAACTCTCCTATCCCTTTCTTGCTGGCCCCTTTCCTCCCCAGAGAGTCCTCCTTACTACTATCATGTTAAGGAATTACATTACCATTTCTTTTTCAACCTTCCCCGTCCCTCCTCTCTCACAGTTCTCTTTTTATTTTCACCCACTCTCATACATGTATACATGCATACACACATACACACAAATTTAAATCTAGACTTTGTGTATGACAAAGAACATGAGGTATTGAGTCTCATTTATTTACCATAATAGTGACCTCCAGCTCCATGCATTTTCCTACAAATACTATGGATTTATATTTTTTATTTTTGACTAACTAAAATTCCATTGTGTTAATGTACCCTAATTTTTTCTATCCATTCATCTCTTGGAGGACATTGAGATTAGTTTCTTTTATTTAAGATTTATTTATTTTATGTAGGTGAGTACACTGTAGCTGTCTTCAGATACACCAGAAGAGGGCACCAGATCCCATTACAGATGGTTGTGAGCCACCATGTGGTTGCTGGGAATTGAACTCAGGACCTTTAGGAAGAGCAGTCAGTGCTCTTAACCACTGAGCTATCTCTTCAGCTTAGTTTCTCAGTTATTGAAATTAATGCTGTTGTAAGTATGGATGTGTATGTATATTCACAGGAAGTTAATTTAGAATTCTTCAGGTATATAGCCCTGAGTGGTCTAGCTGAATTGTGTAATAGTTTCAATTTTTGATTTTTTTTAGGAACTTTAAGACTGATTTCAAAAGTGGCTGTATAAGTTTACTTTCTCACCAATAATGTATAAAGATTCCTCTTTCCTCACATCATTGCCACCATTTGTTGTCTTTAAAAATTATTATTAGTGTGCATATGTATGTAAGTATTGTGTTTGAAGATGTGTACATGACACAGTTTATGTGGAGGTCAAAGTTTAACTTTGTGGCGTTGGGTCTATCCTTCCACCATGGATTTGGGGGATCAAATTCAAGTCATGAGGCTTTTTAAGAAGAGCACTTCTACAAATTAAGCTATCTTGCCAGCAGTCCTTTTGATTTAATTTGATTTACATTACATTTTTCTTTATGATCACCAAATTAACTAGGATAAAATGAGATATACCCTCAAGCAATTTGAATTTGAATTTCTCTCATGGTTAGAGATGTCAAACACATTTTCAGGTATTTATTGGACCTTTGTATTTATTTTGAGAATTCTTTTTTTTCTTTAAACTTTGTATGTTCAAATTTTTATTAGCATGTTTGATTAAACATAGTAATAGATTTCACAAATATATTTCCAGTCATCTATACCATATGATCTGACCATATTCACTCTCCTAAATCCTCCCCTTAACTTTCTCTCCCCTCCTCCATCCTCTTCACTTTCTGAAATCATCCTCCTTTCATCCCCATTTCATATTCTACACATGAATGTGCAGGCACACACACCCTCAGGGTCCACTGTGACATTTGTCATCTTGAGTCTACGTTGTTTCACTTAACATGACAATCTCCACTTCCATCTATTGTCCTGCAACTGTCATTTCATTTTCCTTTATGGCTAAATAAAACTCCATCATGTATGCTTGTTCAGTTCATTAGCCCATTTTTAGAATTTATTTTTTGATGTTTAATTTTTGTGTTTTTTATACATTCTAGATATTAATCCCCTGTGTGGCATATTTGTGTGACAAGGCTTTTTTCCCCATTGTTTTCCTCTTCAGCTTGGTGACACTACTTTGAAGAGATTAAGAGGTGTGGCCTTGTTGGGGTAGGTGTGGCTCGTTGAATGTACTGTCATTCTGGCAAGGTGACTTTGAGGTTTCAGAAGCTCAAACCAGGCCTAGTGGTTTTTTTACCTCCTGCTGCCTGCAGAATGGGAGGTAAAACTCTCAGGTATTTCTCTAAAATCTTGTCTGCCTACATGCCACCATGCACCCTGCCATGATGACAATAAACTAAACCTCTGAAATTGTAAGTAAGCCCCAATTAAATGCTTTCTTTCCTAAGAGTTACAGTGATCATGGTATCTCTTAGAACACTAAGACAGCTCTCAAGAATGTAATGATAAAACATGGTTATACTGGTGAATTTGAAATCACTGATGATCACAAGACTGGGAAAATGATCATAGTTGGGAAAAACCAACTGTGGAATGATCAGCTCTAGATTTGATGTGCCCTAGATAGATGGCAAAAAAAAAAAAAAAGGTTTGCTTCTATATCAGCCTGGTTTCATTGTACTGAAAACTTCGGTGAGCAGCATGGACTATTATGATCAAAATGAACATATATGTAGAAGGAAAAACTCTTAGACTTTTTAAAGAGATATAAAAATGCAAATAAAAAGCTTCTGGGGCTGGAGAAATGGCTCAGCATTTTTGAGGACCCAGGTTCAATTCCCAGCACCCACAGACAGCTTACAACTGTCTTTAATCTGACACTATTGACTCACACTGACATAAATGCAAGCAAAATACAAGTGCACATAAAATATAAATTAAAATTGTTTTTTAAAAAAGCTGCAGTGGAAGTTAAAGACAGAGGAATTAAAGCATATTAATCTTCAGATTGCTTTCTCTGTTTAATTGGACCAGGATTCCTTGCCCAGCGAGCAGTCCCACCCAAAACTAAGATGGGTCCTTCCTACCTAAATTAATGTACAGGCATGACTAGAGGCCCATCTCCTTAAAAGTTATAGATTTTATCAAGTAAAAAATTAACACTAACCATCACAGAGAAATGGGGTAGAGGAGTGAGGAAAAGAGAATATATATATATATATATATATGTAATAAAATTCATCACTCTGTATACTTATTTAAATAATAAAAAACAAAAGAGATAGTAAAAGGGCAAAGGAAAGAAATCACAAGACATATAGGAAAGAACAAAGAAAGCATCTACCAATAATAATAGTAATATTAAATGTGTATTGATTAAATAATACAATAAAATCTTAGAGATGTTTATATTACATTAAAAAACAAAATCCAGCTACATGTTATCTATAACATCCACAAAAATTTCAAAACTACAAAGAGTTAAAAGTAAATGGATAGAACAAAATGTTCCAAATAACAACCATAAGAATCTTGGACTGACTATGGAAATATGAGACAGACTTAAAAAAAAATAAAGTCCCTAAAGATAAAGAAGAATATTTTTAGAGCCAAGCATGGTGGGGCACACCTGTAATTTCAACACTTGGGAGAGGCAAAAAGATCAGGAATTCAAGGCCATCCTCTACTATATAGTTTTATTGTATTATTTAATTTATTTATATTTAATGGCCACCATGTGTTACATGACACCATGTTTCAAAAAAATGAAACAAAATAGATATTTTATAGTAACTACATGCCACAAAAGTACCTGAAAGAAAAAATCTGACAAAAGGGAAGGGAGAAGTATATTACTCAATAATAATTGAGATTTTCGATACTCTTCTTTCAATAGTGGATAGAAATAAGTATAATTTACAACATATACAGGACACTTAACAGCACTATAAACTTACTAAACTCAAAAAGCAATTTGTAGCACAGACCACCAACATTCTGCTCAAATGAACATAGAAGGTATGTCAGAACAGAATATATGCTGGCCACACAAAATCACATTAGATTTAAGAGAACTGTAACCATAAAATATATTTTCAACATGAAACTAAGTTTAAGATCAACTATAAAAGGAAATTTGTCAATTAGTAAATGTAAAAATTAAACAATATACAAATGAAAAACTAACGGTTCAATTAATAAAATTAGAAGAGGAATTACAAAAACACCTCGAGTTGATTAGAAAATAAACATAAAAAAACAAAACTTATGGGATACAGCTATATCAATGCCTTCAGGAAAACATAGATAGAAACCCCAGTGCTTAAAAGGAAAAGAAGTATCAAATCAACGTTCAAAAAAATCCATCCAAGGACAAGGGAGAAAGAGAAGCATCTAAAGTAAATACAGAAGAAATACTGAAGATTAGCATAGAAATGAAATAAAAAACTGGAAAAAAATGGAGATAATTAAGAAACCCAAAACCCGGTGCTTTCAAAAGATCAAATACATGGGGCAAAGCCATCAACGTTATTGAAAAGAAAATGAGCAGGACGTTTTGAATTATTAAAATCAGGAATGAAGGAACAGACACTATTGACACTTGGAGAAAGATTATCCCTAGAAGATTGAAGCTCTAACACCTGAGCTGTGCACCCTAGAACAAACATCTTACTCTGGGAACATTTCTATTTCCGGATCTATGAAGAATTGAAGTTGTCTGGATCATTCATTTTTCAAACATTTTATAAGCAAGCAAAGATTTTTTCAAAAATCTTACAAGAAAATACCAAGTAATAAAATAGTTTAAAGTATAATTTAGGGAATTTGCTTTCCTGGCAGGACCCAAGAGCTCTACAAAAAATGGTTTCTAAATTCCTAAACTAGACAACTGACAAGATTTCTTCTATCTCTAAATTAATGTGTATATTAAATTCTATTCTGTTTAAATTATTA